CCGACTGTTTACCGCCATGTTTTCGCCCCGGATCCGAGAACGTTTTTGCGAATCCAAATTAGCAGTAACTAATCAAAACGCATATTGTCGACTGCGGTGAAAAATTTAGTTTGATGTAAAGTCGTCTAAGTTTTAATAAGTTCTACACGCCTCTGATTTCGTATTTCTTCAAAACGCATTCTAACACCTTAAATTAAAGGTGTTTTGAAGAAATAGGAAAGCTGGAGCGTGCATAGTGTATTAAAAACTCCTCAATTTCACACCAAACAACTTTTTTCACCAGTGTAAAATATAGTGTTTGAGTACTTGTTCCTCAAATAGCATCGATGAAAAGGTAATCAAACGTAAACATGCTCTGTCACCTGTGATAGTTTCATTTTCAATGTGGACCAACATATTAATTGGTACTAATTTCATATTACAATTAAATTTAGTTCATTCAAAGACATGTTGCATTGAAGAATATTCCCCTTTTTTTAATTGAAAAAAATCAGAAGTTTGTAAGCATCTACATGACCACATCCCAAATTACCACATTTTATCGTGGCAATATCCTTCAATAAATATCAAGATTAGCTTTCTTCATGCGTATTGCCGTCAACGAACATGCCTTTCGTTCACAGGACCAAAATCTTATTTTCATATTCAGAGACGCATTAATTTCATCGTTACAACATTTATACTATTTTCGAGTTTTTTATTCAGCAATCTAATGATAAATATATTCGCTCCATATTATCAGCAGAAAAGACCTGACTTGACACTTGAAATTTTGCTTTAGCGGTGATTTGTCGTTAGTATTGAAAATGAAATAATTATTGGCGTTGTTTTGACAACAGTATTATTTACTAAAAGAGCACCTTTTGATGGCTTAGCCAGCTGAAGTCTAGTATGCGGTACAACTTACGGAAGAAGTTTAAACCAGCACTTCGCGCCGTTGGCGGCGGCAACTGCGCAGTTTGAACTCTGGAGGCATTTTGAAAAGTGCTTTCTTATAAACGTGAATTGGTAATTATACGGTGAATAGACTCAAGGATGTTTGTAGTGAACGAGAGGGCCAAAGGCCCGAGCCTCGCCGTGGCTTGAATACGGGCGAGCGAAGCGAGAAAACTTGCCTTTGAAAGTAAACTGGCATTACAATGCGGCGGAGACAAAGTGCATGACGTGCAAGAGGTGAAAATAGACTACACGTAAATTCTATCAGAGCGCGTAGCGTAATTTGAGAGAGGGCTTAAGAAGACACTCCAACCGCTACGTTTCTCTGAGGGTATACCGTTATCCTACTTTAATCGATTAGTAATACCAAGAAACTGATAATGATGGATAAGTCATCGAAAGCTGTTGACATAGCCAAAAATAATTTTATTTCATTTAAAATTTAGTCTAATTTCTAAGTGTCAGTATTGGGTCAATGTCATTAACATTTTCAGAAAAATGTAGTTCAGTAGAATACAAGATTCCTATGGTTTTATCAAGAAAAAAAACCGGCCCTTTAACTGGCTCTAGCCTCGTCAATTAGTAGCTCTTTGCCCTTCATCATTGGAGTTTCGCTTCGTTATTTAAATGTTTCTAATCAGGAAGGAATACAGAAAAGTGGTGACCTCATTTGCTTGAGTATTTAATACACATCCAGATGCATTCCATCCCATAACGTGCGCCCAAAGAGACGCGAAAGAAATCTTTAAGAAGTACAGAACATCAGATGGATGAATGATTGTTCTCCAAATTTGATGTTACATTAATGTTACTGTAAACGTTTCATTGGCAATAACATTGATAACGCATGAATGATAGAAGTTTGAGAGAACATGCACATATTCACATGCACATAACAGTTTTTTAATGATCATCACCGTCAAAACATCAATGCTAATAAAACTCTAGTAGGTAAAAATCAGTAAATTTAAGAGGTCAATTATTTGTTTAACTTCTTTGCATTATGAAATGTATTTGAAGAGGGTGATTATTAATGATTCATTATTTCTCAGAAAAGTATACATATACTAATACTGATGAAAAATATCTTATATTGTGGTATTTCTCTCCAGTAAATATTGTTCAACCTGGATTAAACATTGCAAGCACATCTAAGAATAAAACAGTCTCAAAAATATATGAATGGAAATACCTGTTGCCAATGCGGTCGATAAGTTGATGGTTCCTTCATATCAAACACACTGCAATCTTCAAACGTTTTCATTTGAATAGACACAGCTATGCACAAAAAGCACTGTTCTATCATTCTCACGATCGGAATAGCTCTTCCCCGTCCTCCTTCTTCGAGTATTCGACAGAGACTGAATGGAACAACAGTCACGTGATAATGCCGTGGTTGCAACGTGAGCATGACGCGATCGACCACTGACGAATCTTTAAAAGAAAGAAGGCAAAACGCAGATAATATCAAAATTCTTAGACTCACCTAATTAATGAATGCCTTTCAAATTAACGAATTCACAGGGGAAATTTATCTGAATCTAGCAAAAGCCCAGCGATGTCTACACAGTGTTTCCATCAGAATCCAACTAAAAAATATACGTAAAATTTTCGTCGAACCTCATAAATCATTATACTCAGAAATCATCTAGAAAGTCTATTTCAAATCCCCGCGATAAAAATGGCACGTCTAAACATTTGTTGAAAACTACATAAAATACTTCCAATAGACACATTGCCATTTTTCAAAATATCGACATTAACACAAAACTGAAATTCCCAGCTTATTAATACAGGATCCTTCTTTCGTTGGATTTATTTGTAATCACATGTACGTACTTATACATGAACTACTGTGGTACTTGTGACTAATACATGAACATTCTGGTTGCGCCCAAAACTTAAATAATAATTTCTCACTTATTCGCTCATTGCGGGTCAAGTTAGTATATTGTTGCAGAAGACATTGACTTAGATGGCTCTTCTGCTTTGTTTCCTTGACCTGATACTTTCAGAATTGTGCAGCTGCTGATTTACTGCAGCATTATTACTTAATTTGATATAGGACTGATATTCATTTATAATGGTATAATCGATATGAATGTAATGTGAATCGTTCAGCGTTAGTCATAATAACATTGTTGATTTTTCTTAACATAACCAATATTTTTGTTGAATTATAGTTCGTAACAGGTATTTGCCATTGTTTGGATGTCAGATTTGTCGTTCAATTTTCGTCTCTTATTTATTTTATTTTATTATGAGTGCTAATTATTGGTTATTGTGATTGTTCTGAAAATAACTGCGAAAACAAAATTGATTCTAATTATATGATATCCCTGTTTCGTGAAAATTTGTTCGCTATTAAACATTTGTTACTAAGTTTGTTGTCAAATTTTGTACCAAGTTTTAAATAATGTTTGAACACATTTATTGGTATTTTATTAAAAAACTGAATTGTTAGATTTGTTAAATAATCAAATTTAAGTATTAAGTTTCTAAAATAATAAAATACATACATTTATAGTTTTCTGAATATTTCAAGATGTTCTAATAATAACAATATAAAAATAGCTACAGGAAAAATGAATTGCATCAATGAAAGGGCAATTTTAATTAGATAATATTTTACATAACCATTGTTTGGAGAAGTCATTATCTGGCATTGTTGGTGCACTCAGCTATTTACTACATTCCATTAGAGAAATATAAAACGAGATAGCAAGTGAGAAAAAAACAGCACAAAAACATGGTTTATGAAAGCATTACCGTAAGATGTAAACACACGGCTATTGATTGAAAAACAGGTGGACAGCTGCCCTGATCGCACTTTAAAAGTAAATATAATTATTACTGAAATGCGTCTCCCCGCGCCCGGCCCTGGACCGTCCCCCGTGCCCCCACGTTCCTCTCCCTTGTCGGCGGCCCTTGGGCGGCCCTCGGGCGCTGCCCTTTGCTTCGGAATTTAATTTAGTCCCGAGGAGGCTGCCTGCACTTCATTAGGCGCCGTCCGGCCCGCGCCTTGGACCCTTTGTGTCGCCGCCACCGCTGAACGCTACCCTTGGCATCGCCATTCGCCATTTTCCTTACCCCCGTTCCTCCTCGCTCGGTGGAATTGTGATCGGTTACGTCGCGCAGTGGTGTCAAGGTTGCCCACTGGTGGCATAAAGCCCGCCTCGCGCCGCGCCATGACCTGAGCTTCTCAGCGCAACTGGTGAGTTGAAGGAAACAATTTCTACGCCTCGAGTTTTCCTGTAGCGATGTCGATGTCCATGTCGAAACTTACGGAAGCAGGGTCAAGATAATTCCTTTAAAATAACCGTCCGGCCATCATTACGTCCGCCAGTACGTCCGTCAGTCAGACAGTCCCTCCATCAGTCCGTCCGTCCGTTAATCATCCGTCCGTCCGTCCGTCCGTCCGTCTGTCCGCCCGTTAGTCGATCAGTCCGTCCGCCTGTCCGTCCGTCAGTCGATCTGTCCGTCCATCCACCTGACTATCGGTCCGTCCGTCCGTCTGTCAGCCAGTCCCTCTGTCAGCCAGTCGTCTGTCAGCGCAGTCCCTCCGTCAGCCAGTCCCTCGTCAGCCAGTCCCTCCGTCAGCCAGTCCTCCGTCAGCCAGTCCGTCTGTCAGCAGTCCCTCCGTCAGCCAGTCCTCCGTCAGCCAGTCCCTCCGTCAGCCAGTCCCTCCCATCAGCCAGTCTGTCAGCCAGTCCCGTCAGTCAGTCCCTCCGTCAGTCCATTGTGCCTCCGTTTCGTCGTCTGTTCGTTCGGTCAGTCATCTGATCGTCATTTTTGTGTGGCCGTCACTCACTGTCCGCCGCTCTCGCCAGACCATTAATCGAGACGAATTGGGTGTTCGGACTCCTGATGAAGAACTCATATTTTGCGAATCCTTTCAGTAATTTCTATAAAAAAAACGTTGTTTTTAAGTAACGAATACATATTTTTGATGACTAAAGGAACAATGATGAGGTGATCTACTGTTCATTCGATTCCTCTCGAATAGACAAGAAGAGTGGCATAATTCTTAATCGGTTCCCTCTAAGGTACTTTTGAGAAAAAGTGTATAAAACACGTGTTTTGTGGTTCTAATGTTACTAGGAATACATTGCTGTGAAATTACTATATCATGAAACGATATGAATTACTATACTCTCTTTCAGACATATTGTAATAAAACAAAAATTTTTTAAAAAAAGCATTTTACTGTATACATTTTCATGTAACTTTCTATGCCCGGAAATTGACTATCCGGACAACTGTTATATGTTTAGAATCTCCAAAATGAGATGCATATTGTCATTTATAAATTGGTGCTGAGATACGGTGAACAGCGTGACTCCAAAACACGTCTAGCCATTGCATTGACTTTTATTAACCATCAGTATGTTCGTTTTATAGTTTTCCTTACAGTTTTTTCACTTTTTGAAACGTTGAATAAATTCAGTAAGTAAAGCAGTGAATAGTGCAAAACCACATGTATTTTGTACACAGTTGGTATTTAATAACAAAGGGTACGTGATGGTCTTACATTCAGGAAAAAAATAGATTTATAATCAATTTAATTTTAATGAGGGGAGGCGTGTGCATAATTTGTTACCTGAAGGGACTCACGACAGCAAAAAGTTTGGAAACAACTGTCCTATATGTTTGGTGAGAATCCCCTGTGACAAGATATTCATAATTAAAGAAAAAACTATTTTTGAGCATTTTTATAACTTAAATGTCTCGAAAACAATTAGTCATAGAAAAAAGTTTTAATACAATTTTGTGGTAAATTTGATTATCATAAAACATGCAATACTCCTTGATGACTAGATGTATTCCATAGTTGTTTCTGAGCATAGGTGAAAACTGAGGAGGGAGGTTATGCACTTATGATCTTCACGTATGCATATGATCTTCACGAAATTCCTTGAAATGATTAATAGTGTTTGTATTTCCCTCCGCATTAAGTTCTACAACACATAGTGTGGTTGTAATGGGTGAATGATTATGTTATTTAAATTATTATGAATGGTATGATATAAACATGTGACAAGTTGTAATGTCATAATGTCATTCGTTTCAATGTATTTCAATATTGCCTTCGGGATTAAATTGAAAGTGGTTTTGAACTTTTAAAGTGTTTTTAAACAACAGTTTAAAGTTAAGAGTCTAAACGAGTATACTTTTGCACTCTCCATTATTTATTTGAATTAACCATTGGCATTGTAACAATAGCCCCTGGTACTAGAGGAGTTCGATAAGAAACGGAAAATACTACTTTGTTGACGTCATTACTCTTAAGTTTCACTAGCGCACTCATGACAATGTTCTTGAAAACAGTTTACACGCATACTGTATGTGCTGATAAGGTATTTTAGATTTTAAAGAATGCATTATCAACAGACCAAATTCACTTATTACCTTAATTACAGGGTTTAATACATTATGTTACTTTACCCGTCGTTACCTGGCTAGAGATCATCGTAATCATCTCATATAATTTCTACTGCTTATGTCATTTTCATTCTGAAAATAATCTCCAGTTTATTAAGCTTACCATACCAAGATATACAAGGTTCTTCAGGCCGGGGGATCTGGAGCCAACCATTTAAATATGATTTTGACAAATTAATAAATTCATATAACTAATAATTCACAAGTTAGTTAAACATAGAGCATTGTTGGATTTCTATATTTGTATATGAAAAGAATGCTGCCTCTTCCCCCTACAAACACAAGAATACTAGGGTTAATTTTTTTAATGCGTACAAGAGTAATAAAGCAAAACGAAACATATACAATATACATTGAGAAAAATAAAACTATTCTTCCTTCGCGTGGCGCAATCAAAATTGAAACTCCTCTCAGGGTGGCACCAAGGAAATCTATGCCCTTGTGAAAATGTTTGTCCGTTGCTTCTGTGTTCTTATGTTTTGAATTTTGTTACACAGATTTTATTTAGCTTATACAGATTTTTCACTGGTAAGTCGAACAGCGTCTTCACAGTTTTCACGTGAGAAATAAAAGAATCCGAAATTATATTACAGGAAATCAATGAAATCTTCGAAAATTCTATTCCTCATACTTATGTATTAGTGTATTAAGTTTTTTGAAAAATAATTTAACACTGAAAGATAATTTAATGTGGGTAAATAATATACTCCTTTTTTCATTTAAAATAAAAATATGTGAAAATAAAACGGATAAAAAAATCGGACCTTTGCGACTTTTATCAGTTTAGTAGCCAAATACCCAGCGTCACCCGGTATTTCTTCACATCAACCCTTTGAAGAAAGAAAAGGATTAATTTTTATATAA